CCGTCCCGGCTCCCAGTGGCCACAGAAGCACATGGGGATCCTCTGTGGCCGGGCCCAGCCCTGTCCCAGTCAGGTGTGCTCATGGAGAGAACATGAGCACGGCAGGTAGGAATGGAGCATGAACATGCATGCCCGTCATGCCTGCTGCTGCAGGGATGCACGCTGCAGAAACGGGCGCTCGACCAAAGCTGGACAGGTGGAAGAGCAGCAAGGACGGGCAGCAGTTCCTTCAGCCTCCTCCTCACGGCCACGCAGGCAAGGTGCGAGGAGAGCAAGCTATCCCAAGCGCTGAAAGAGGAAAGAAAAAAACCAACATCGAATTCTGTAGCTAGCAAAAATTATACTTCGAGAGTGAAGGAGAAATTAAAGACATTTTCAGAGAAACAAGAACTGAGGGGATTCCTCGCCAGCAGACCTGGCTTGTAAGAAACGTTGAAAGACATTCTTCAGAAGGAATGGAAAACTCACGGAGTCGGAAACTTGAATCTACACGAAAGGAACAGCGTTAGAGAGGGAACAAATGGAGGTAAAATAAAACCTTTTATATTTCTCAAATGATCTCACAGAACTGTTAGTTCAAAGTAAAAATAGCAACGATGTAATGGGAGATGGTAGCTCGTGAATAAGTGGATGAGTGAACGCAAGTCACAGGACGGGAGGGAGGGATCGGGAGACCTCCACCGTCAGACACTCGCACCGCCCAGAAGTGCTACCGTGCTCTCTGAAAGAGGACTTAGGTAACTTGTAAGTGTATGTTGCAAATTATAGGGCAAACACTAAAAAAGTAAAAAAGAAGAAAAAAGAATCGGCCGGGTGTGGTGGCTAACGCCTGTAATGCTAGCACTCTGGGAGGCCAAGGCAGGAGGATGGTTTGAGCTCAGGAGTTCAAGACCAGCCTGAGCAAGAGCGAGACCCCGTCGGCTGACGAAAAAAAAAAAAAAAAAAAATAGAAAGAAATTAGCAATTCTCTATGATCTGTTCCAGAATGCAGAAGCAGCGGAAAGACTTCCTAACTCATTTTGTACGGCCGGCATTACCCTAATTCCAAAACTAGATAAAGAAATTACAAGAAAGAAAAACTGCTGACCGATATCTCTTATGAATATAGATAGATGTAAAAAATCTTCAATAAAATGTTAGCAAATTGAATCCAACAGTAGGTAACAAGAATTATATACCAAAACCCACTGGGATTTAGCACAGATACACAAGACTGATTCAACACATTTGAAAAATCGATGTGATCCATCCCATCAACAGGCTAAAGAAGGAAAATGGTAGGATCGCATAGATAGGTGCAGGAAAAGCATTAGAAAAATCGAACACCCATTCAGGATAAAAGCTCTCAGCAGACAAGTGACAGAGAAGAACTTCCTCAACTTGGTAAAGACCTTACAGAAGGCCCACAGCTCACAGGAAGCTTACTGGGGAGATCCCAGATGCCACCCCCACCCCCGGCAAGATTGGGAACAGGGCACAGATGTCCTCTTTCTCCAGTCCTTCAACATCGCGAGTGCAGTCCTAATTAATGGAATAAGACAAGAAAAGGAAATGAAATGTATACAGACTGGGAAGGAAGACACAAAACTGTCTTTGCTAGCAGAAGACATGACTGTTTATGTAGAAAATTCCCAAGAATCGGCAGAAAGAATTTCTGGAAGGAATAAACCATTAGAGCAAGGTTGCGGAATACAAGGTTATATACAAAAGTCCACTGTTTTCCTATACACCAGCAGTGAACAATTGGAATTTGAAATTAGAAACACAACACCATTTACATCATCACCAAAAAAAGTACTTAGGAATAAATGTAACAAAACATGTATAAGAAGACTATATGAGGAAAACTACAAAACTCTAGTGAAAGAAAGAACTAAACAAAGGGAGAGCAGTTCCATGCTCGTGGATAGAAAGACTCGATATGATGAAGATGTCAGTTCTTCCCAACTTTGTCTATAGATTCAAATCACTCCCAGTCAAAATTCTGGCAAGTTATTTGGTAGGTATTGATGAGCAGTGTCTAAAGTTTATATGGAAAGGCAAAAACTCGATAAGACAATACACTACTGAAAAAGACTGACACCGCCCGACTTCAAGTATCACTATAAAGCTACCGTGATCAAGACAGTGGTACTGGTGACTAGACTAATAGATCAATGACATGGAATAGTGAGCCCCAAAATAGACACCCACAAATGTAGTCAACTGATCTCTGATAAAGGGGCAAAGGCAACTCAATGGAAAACCGGGAATCTGTTTAACAAATGGTGCTGGAATAATTCAATGCCCATCTGCAAAAAAAAAAAAAAAAAAAAGTAATGATCTAAAAAAATTGATAATCACAAAGCTTAATTTAAAATGGATCTTAAACCTCATTGCTTCTTGACCTTTTGGCCACGATCAAGTGTAAAATGGATCATACACCTGTGTGCAAAATGCAAAACTATAAAACTCCCACAACATTACATATGGTAATATTTTGGTAGCCTTAGGCTTGGAGATGAGTCTTTAGATACAACACCAGAAGCATGATCCATCAAAATTAGGTATTTCTGCTCCATGAAAGACGTTAAGTGAATGAAAAGACAAGCCACACACCGGAAGAAAATACATGCAAAATGTGTATCTGATAAAATATTTGGATCCAAAATATACAAAGAACTCTTAAAATTTAACAATAAGACAACCCAGTCATAGATGGGCAAATGATCTGAACCTTACAAATGAAGACATACAGAGATAAACATATGAAAAGATGCTGGACATCGTATGTCATTAGGTAGCTGTGAACTAAAACAACACTGCACACCTATTAAAATGGCTAAAATCCCAAGAAGTGTGACAATACCACGAGCTAGTAAGGAGGCAGTGCAATGGGAACTCTCATGCATTGCCAGTGCAAATGTGAAATAGTGTGGCCACTTGGAAGATAGTTTGGCAGTTTCTTGCAAAGTTAAACACACTCTCGCCACATGACCCAGCAATCGTGCGCCTAGGTATTTATCCAAGTAAGTTGGAAACTCACGTCCATGCAGAAACTTGAACATGAATGTTTATAGCAACTTTATTTATAAATGCCAAAAAGCAAAGTGACAAAAATGTCCTCCATAAATGGATAAACCGTAGTACATCCATGCAATAGGTATTATTTAGCAATAAAAGTAAGTGCGCAATCAAGCCATGGAAAGACACAGAGGAACCTTAAATGCATACTGCTTAGTAAAAGGATGTCAAGTCTCAAAAGACTGCACACTTGCATGATTCAACTATATAACATTCTGGAAAAGTCAGAACTATGGAGACCATCAAAAGATCCATGGGCCAGGCATGGTGGCTCACGGTTATAATCCCAGCAGTTTGGGAGTCCAAGGTTAGAGGCTTGAGACCAGGAGTTCGAGACCAACCTGGGCAACACAGCAAGACCCCATCTCTACAAAAACGTTAAAAATTAGCCAGGTTTGGTGGTGCATACTTGTAGTCCTAGCTACTTAAGAGGCTGGGGTGGGAGAGCACCTGAGCCCAGGAGTTCCACATTACAATGAGCTATGATGACCCCACTGCACTGCAGCCTGGGTGACAGAAGACCCTGTCTCTGAGAAGAAAAAAAAAAGACCAATGGCTGCCAGGTGCTGGGGGAGGCAGTGAGTGTTGAAGATGCAGAGCACAGGAAAATTTAGGGCAGAGAAGCAATTCCGCTTGATACTGTAATGCGGACACGTGACATGATGCATTTGTCAAAACCCACAGCATGTATAACACCGTGGTGGACCCTAATGTAAACTGTGGACGTCAGTTAACAATATGATCTCGATAACGGTTCATCAGTCATAGCAAACGTTCCACACTAACACAGAACGTTAATCGCAGCAGAATCTGCAGCCTGTGTGTGGAGGGGGGATTATGGGAACTCTCTGTACTGATGCTCGATTCTCTGTAAACCTACAGCTGCTCTAGAAAATAAAGTCTATTAATTTTAAAAAGCAATTAGGGTATAGTATCGGTTTTTTTAAAATTCATGAAACTTTACCTTAGATTCTTACTAGTATTATCATAATTCTTCAAGCTCCGCGTGCGGTTTTCTTTGCCCAGAGTGTCTGCCCCTGTGCCTGCGGGAATCCCACACGCTCTAAGACCATGGTCTTCGCCCTCCTGCGAAGCATCATCTGCTCAGAAGTGATCACTGCCTTCTCCTTTGTTTGACTAAATCTCCGACGGCGACCACAGGCATGGAGGAGGGTGGAACGCCAGTCTTTCTGATCTTTCTCTGGCCACCGGTGGTGTCCTCGCGCCCCTGCAGCACTCATGCCCCCACCAGGCCCTGCACACGCGGGAGGCCTCGGAGAGCAGCCGCTGAAGTGGCCTCCCCCCACCCCCTGAACAAAGCAGGTGTGCACGGACCAGTGGGTTTGCATCTGTTATCCTGCGAACACCAGACAACAAACCACCGCCTCACTCTACAGCTCAGTTCGGCGTTCGCGGCCAGCCCGCAGGCTGTCGGGTCCGTGTGGACACACTGGAGGGTGGGCTCTGGGGCATAATCTCCCACGTTGTTTTATAATGTCCAGACTCACTCAAGGTTAAGGGCTCCAGCCTTGAGGATAGAATTTAGTTTTAACTGGGCTCAGATTCTTGGTGATTGTGAAGCTGTGGGCAACTTATTTAATCTCTCTAAGCCTCAGTTTTACCATCTGAAAAATGGGACAATACTTAGCTCCCAGGGTTTTGTAAGCATCAAATGATGAGCCTGAAAAGCGCCCAGGGCCGCTCTGGACTCTTGGGGAGCCCACGGTGCCGCTGAGAGCGCAGGTCGGCCCCCCTTCACACCTGCACCTGCCGGGCCCGCAGACGGGGCCCCACACCTCTGCTGAGTATGTACGAGTGCCATCAGCAGCGGCTGCTCACACGCCATGGCAGCATCAGCGTGAACCGGCAACTGGAGAAAGTGCCTGGCCCCACAGCAGGCAGCAGCAAGACGAATGAGCACACGAAAGAGCATCTGCTTCCACACGTACACCTTGTATTTCTTTTGCGGCCATCACAGATCTCAGTCTTAATGGCTTACGACACCACCCGTTTATCACCTCACAGTTCTGTGGGTTGGACATCTGGGCAGTTTGCTCAGCCGGTCCTCTGCCTCGAGTCACAGGAGGATGGAATCCAGGCGTCAGCAGGGCTGTTGCAGTGAATCTCCTTCCGAGATCCAGGTCCTCCTTCCAGGTCGTTGTCTGGATTAAGTTCCTTTTGGTTGCTGTCTCCTTGCCGGCTCTCAGCTGGGGCTGGTCTTGGCTCCTGGAGCTGCCCACATCCCGTCTCCTGTGCCACGCGGCCCTCCAGCACTGCGGGTCCAAGGCCTGTCCTGCGCGCTGTGCTTCGCACCTCTCTGACTCCAGCTGGAGAAAGTTCTCTGCTTTTAACACACTCCTTGGACCCACGGGATAACCCAGCATGATGATCAAGTCTGTAACCTCGATCCCATCTGCAAAGTCCCTCTTGCCACGCACCATGACGCAGCCACAGTCTGGGCACTGGCGCTCGGACGTTTGGAGGCCCACTGTTCTGCCAACCACACACAGATGAGCACTTCCCTTGTTCTCTCTGCCTCATTCGCTTTACCATGTAAAGACTGTTTTTAGGAATGAGGTGGGGGGGGGGACAAGGAAATGTCCCATGGGTAGGGAAGAAAGGCCTAGGAGACAGGAGCAGGTATACAGTGGGATTCTCCTTCTGTTTTTTTTTTGTTTTGTTTTTTGTTTTTTGAGACAGAGTCTCACTTTGTTCCCCAGGCTAGAGTGAGTGCCGTGGCGTCAGCCTAGCTCACAGCAACCTCAGACTCCTGGGCTCAAGTGATCCTTCTGCCTCAGCCTCCCGAGTAGCTGGGACTATAGGCATGCACCACTATGCCCAGCTAGCTTTTTTTTATATATATATTAGCCAATTAATTTCTTTCTATTTATAGTAGAGACGGGGTCTCACTCTTGCTCAGGCTGGTTTTGAACTCCTGACCTCGAGCAATCCGCCCGCCTCGGCCTCCCAGAGTGCTAGGATTACAGGCGTGAGCCACCGCGCCCGGCATAGGATTTTCCTTCTAAATTCAGCAAAACAGGTCTAATCCTAGCTTTCCCTCCCTCCTAACTTTCTTTTTTCTGCTCTTTCCTTCCCCCCCTCCTTTCTCCCCTTCCTTCAGCATTAAGAAACATATCAGGATCTAAGCCTTTCTGGCAGGAGTAAAGAGAAACGACAGGATGAAGTTTGCTGTCTTGCCAAACTCCAGTGGCAGGAGGCAGTAGGGAGTAAAAAGCCTGGGACAGGACAGGCGCGGTGGCTCACACCTCTAATCCCAGCACTCTGGGAGGCCAAGGCGGGAGGATCGTTTGAGCTCAGGAGTTTAAGACCAGCCCAAGCAAGAGCGACACCCTGTACCTACTTAAAATAGAAAGAAATTAGCTGGACAACTAAAAATATATACAAAAATTTAGCTGGGCATGGTGGCGCATGCCTGTAGTCCCAGCTACTCAGGAGGCTGAGGCCGGAGGATTGCTTGAGCCCAGGAGTTTGAGGTTGCTGTGAGCTAGGCTGACGCCACGGCACTCTAGCCTGGGCAACACAGCGAGACTCTGACTCAAAAAAAAAAAAAAAAAAAGCCTGGGACACTAGGCCCCCAGCTGCCCTGTCACACAGCGGCCTTGCCTGGGCAGCTCAGTCAAAGCAAACGGGCTGGGAAAGCCGGGCTCTTGGCTTCTTGCTGTTACCAGCACAAGAAGGGCAGACCAGGACCCTCTTACTTGACCAAGTTTCTAAATTTGGCATATTTTACGTGGGAAGATTGCACACCCTACCAGTAAGGTACATCTATGATAACTCTGAGCTTGAAATAGTACACATTTGATATTTTAAATGATATTTAGAAGTTGAAAGTCTAGATAAATTAAAAAAAATTTTTTTTAAAAATAAAGATATTCAGGGGAAGAATAATTAACAGGGTGCCCCTCTGTGATTTTTTTCAGACCTTTTTTTTTTTTTTTTTGAGACAAGGTCTCAGTCTGTCACCCAGGCTGGAGTGCAGTGGCAGTGGCATCATCATAGCTCACTGCAGCCTCAAACTCCTGGGCTCAAGTCATCCTCCTGCCTCAGCCTCCCTGTGAGAATCCAGTGCCGCTGATCTCGACAGGAGGCGGAGCTCATGCACCGATGCCAGTGATGGGGAGCAGCTGTAAACACAGATGAAGCTTCACTGTACCTGCTGCTCACCTCCTGCTGTGCAGCCCGGTTCCTGACAGGTCACCCACCAGTACTGGGGTCTGTACCAGTGCATGGCCCTAGGGTTGGGGACTGCAGATCTACAGAACACCTTCATAGCAACATGTAGGTTAGTTTTTACTAAATAACTGGCACTATACCTAGCCAAGCTGACACATAGAGTAGCCGTCATAAAACAAATGGAATCAGGCAGCCTGTGCTCCCGTCTGGCTCCTTTCATTTTGCATAACCTGAGAGTCATCCCTGTTGTCTGTGTCAGTAGTTGGTTTCTTTTCATTACTGAGCAGTACTCCCACGTACGACTACAGTAGGCCAGATTCCAATGCACACCAGCATTTTACAATACAGCCATGAGATCGAAAAAACAATTTAGAAAGGAAAATTGCCTTGCAATACCCGGGGACCTGAAAACACTAGTTAGAATTCAAATGGAGTAACTCACTGAGATATTCAAAGTTGTTAGCGTCGTAAAAGAAATAGTAAAAATCTCTAGCTGGTCAGCCAATGCTCAGTGGGACACAAGGAAACCAGCTCACTATTTTCAGGAATATGTTACCTTTGTGGGCTGCATCTTGTTATTTTTAATTTTTAATTTTTCCATTGTACGATGTTTAGTAAAAGAAAAATTTAATTCAGTGGTGTATAAAAAATGTAATCCAATGGTATCTAGTTAACCAAAAAACATATTCTTTTTTTTTTTTGAGACAGGGTCTCACTTTGTTGCCCAGGCTAGAGTGAGTGCCATGGCGTCAGCCTAGCTCACAGCAACCTCAAACTCCTGGGCTCAAGCAGTCCTCCTGCCTCAGGCTCCCGAGTAGCTGGGACTACAGGCATGCGCCACCATACCCGGCTAATTTTTTCTATATATATTAGTTGGCCAATTAATTTCTTTCTATTTATAGTAGAGACAGGGTCTTGCTCTTGTTCAGGCTGGTTTCGAACTCCTGACCTTGAGCAATCCGCCCGCCTCGGCCTCCCGGAGTGCTAGGATTACAGGCGTGAGCCACCGCGCCCGGCCCAAAAAACATATTCTAAAACTAATTATCTTGCCAGCACTTGCAAAGATGTATCTTTAACACACACTAAAGCAAGGGTCCTCAAACTTTTTAAACAGGGGTCCAGTTCACTGGCCATCAGACCATTGGAGAGTGCACACTGTGGGCCCTGGACCAGTCAGCTGCTAAGCAGGACAGGCAGTGGCAGCAAAAACACCCAGAGGGCCGGATAAATGTGCTAGGCTGGCCGCATGTGGCCCTCGGGCCATAGTTTGAGGACGCTTGCACTAAAGCAATTACATATAAGAGCACCTGATAATTCCTTCAGTTTCTCAATTGCATTCCTGGGCTGACTGGCTAAATGTACACTCTAAAAAGGAGATTTACGGACCAATTGCTTTCCAAATTGGTCTTCCAAATTCTACTGTGAACTAAAATGAAATCTTAAGCCCCCCTAGCCAACTGAATGGACCCCCACTTGGCCAAGGGGACCCCAGAAATACCCTAACACTGAGTTGTTGGCCATGAGAAGGGAGATCAGACACGCCTCGTCAAGCCCCCCTCCCTTCTTAGAGATATTGTTTGTAACTCTTTAACAGACCTAAGGCCATGCAAGACACCTGCAGGTCATCCATTTACTTAAAAGATCACTTGAGTCTGTTTGTGTGCCTGGTGGCTTGTCTCTGCTTTAAGCAGACTTCCTTGTCTTAACTTAAAACATTCCAAGCCTTTAGACAAAGTTTCATTTCTTTAACCAATTACAAATCAAAGACTCTTCAAACCCACCTATAACCTGTAATCCTTCACTTCTAGATGTTCCACCTTTTTGGGCCAAACCAATGTACCCCTTCCATGTATTGACGCATGACTTACAATTACTAGTAATTACTTTGCAATTACTATCTCCCTGAAATAGATAAAACCAAACCGCAACCCAGCCACAGTGAGACCACTTGCTCAAGGTTTCTTGGGAGTGGCTCTGAGCCATGGTCACCACAGTTGACTTAGAATAAACCTCTTAAAATTATTTTACAGAGTTTGGGTTCTTTTCTGTTGACACTCTCCTGCCACTCTCCCTGAAGACCTCTCCAAACTTGTGTGCATCCACTCATAGTCACTGCTCTGTCCCCGTTAGTAATGGCCTCCCAGTAGCTACAACCAATGGCCCCTCCTCAGCACTCTTCCCAAGGTGTCTGAGAGCTGGCCACGCCCCCTCATCTATACCAAGCTCCTAGCCCCAGGTACTCCTGGCTGTCCAGGATCCCACAGACAAGCTGCCTCTCCTCTGCCTCCTCTTGCCTTCACGGCTCTGTCCTTGGTCCTGTCCCTATCGATCCTCCCTCCTGAGGTCATCTCACCCAATCTCCTGGTTTGAAATGGCCTCTTAAATGCTCCGGATTTTACACTCTGACCCTGACTTCCCTGTGTGCTCCAGACTCACCTGTGCAACAGCCTGTGCTAACAGCTCCACAAGTTTACAGCCAGCCTCTGGGCAGTCTGCACCCACACACACCCATTCCTTCTGCAGTTCTTCCATCCTAGGGCCTGGAAACGCCTTCCTTCCAAGTGCTCAGACCACCGGAGTACAGCATCAGTTCCACCCAAAATTCCTGGCCCTGCTTTGGCCTGGTTCTCATCACAACCTACCACACTCACAACATGTGCACCCTCATCCCCTTGCCCAGACAACCCTGCTGGCCACCTCACTGGTCTCCCTGCCTCTCCACTTGGGCTCTCAGCAGAGTGGCCACAGCAACCCTATTAAAGCCCAAGTCAGTCTTGACCCTCTGCTCACAGCACCAAAGCCTACCTCACCTGGAGCTCAAGTCCTCAAAACGGCCTGCCCACCATCTGTCCTCTCCCTCTGGTCTCCTGCCTTCACTCTGATCCCTAGCCTCCTCTCCACTCATTCTTCTCCCCCACACCACTTCCGGATGCTTTTTCTACCTGCCAGGCGGTCCTGCCTCCTGTCTTTGCACCTGCTGCTCCCGCTTCCCGCACAGCCTTTGCCAGGTTCCGCGTGGCTTGCTCCCTCGTCTCCTTGAGACCTTCCCCAATCACCAGACTTAAACGCCGGCCCTCCTGCCACACATTTCTGTCCCTCCTCCTCGGCTTCTTTCTCTGCAGCTCCATCAACTTATCACGTTTTTCTTTATTTCCTACTGTCTCCCCCGTTGAAATGTGAGCTCCACCGGGGCAGAGGGCTGTCTGCTCTGCTCACCGCACGCCCCCAGGACTGTGGGCAGTGCGCAGCCCAGGGCAGGAGCGGGCCATAAGCGGCATATGCGGGGCGACTGCCCCAGTGGTGCAGGGTGGTCGCCAACTTCGCACTGTCCCCGAGAGAAGTTGTGATACCGGACATCACCCCATAGATGAACACGGCGCCGGGTTTACGAGCGCTGGACTTGCGATTTTCGACTTTACGATGGGCTTATTGGGTACTCAACGCGTTCTCGACTTACTGTACTGTTGACTTACCGAGGGCTTACCGGGACTCCGCCCTGCGGTAACCGGGGAGCGCCTGCGGCACCTCCCTACACACCCGCAAACGTGAAAACCATCGGCCGCGTTTCCCTAAGACCGTACTGGGGGCCCCAGGGACCCCTGAAGTAGCCATTGGTGGGCAACGGGGAGCGCTGAGTAGGGGCCGTTAGCAAAGGTGGACAGGGACCTGCCCGGCCTCCGGCAGTAGGGCGGGGCGATCCAGGTGCGGCCAGCCCGGATGTCCCGCCCGCTGCGCCGAGCGCGCCCTCCATTGGCTGCTCCGGGAGGGCCCGCGCTCCCATTGGCCGAGACGCGGGGGGCGGGGTCGGACCGGCGAAGGTCCTGCTGGCTGGGCAGGCCCTCCTGGAGCCTCCGCAGAGAAGCGGGAGGCAGGCGGCGCTTGTCTTCAGGAGAGCGCCGGGCGCACACCTGCCCGCTAGGGCCCACCGAGGGCCGACGTAGCCGCCTGTGACCGCCGCCCCGAGTTCCCTCGGCAGCTCCCTGAAGCGCCCCCTACCCCAACCAGAGCGGCGCGGTGGCCGGCGCAGGCGCAGTCGGCGCGCCCCCGGCAGCCCCCGCGGCCGCCCCGCCCGCGGCCCTTCCGAGGAGGCGGAGGGGGATGACGTCATCCAGCGGGGCGACGGGCATTGGGCGCCATTTTGAAAAGGGAAAAAAATCCCTCCCCGGCGGCGGTGGCGGCCGGGGCCGAGCGCTGGGCGGCTGCGGTGCTGGGGCCGCCTCCCTGGTCAGCCCCGGTCGGCGCGCCAGTCCCGCGCGTCCCGCCGCCGGCTGCCATGGCAGGTTAGGGGCTCGCGCGGGCCGGTGGGGACGGGGGCGGGCGGGGGCCGCGTCGGGCGGCTGTGGCCGGCCTGAACGCCCCGTTGTATTTGCAGGAGCCGGAGGCGGCGGCTGCCCCGCGGGCGGCAACGACTTCCAGTGGTGCTTCTCGCAGGTCAAGGGAGCCATCGACGAGGACGTGGCCGAAGGTAAGGCCCGCGCCGCTCCCGCCCCGCCCGGCCGCCCGCAGGAGGGGAGGACAGGACAGGGCGGGAGGCCGGCAAGAGGGTGGCCAGACGGCCAGGAGGGGAGGCCGGCGGGACGGGGAGGACGACGGGAGGAGAGGCTGGCGGGAGGCCGGCGGGAGGGGAGGCCGGTGGGAGGGGAGGACTGGAGGGAGGCAGGCGGCACTGGAGGCAGGCGGCGGCTCCGCGACGGCGGTGCTCATGGGGGGCCGGGGCGCAGGCGAGCCCGTCCCGTGGGCGAGGGCTTATGTAAGCCACCAAGGTCACCGGCGGGCTGGTTGCGGGACTGCGCGGGCCTCGGGCCCTCCGAGCCCAGGCCTGGGGCTCTCGGGTGCCTCCTGCATTGGGCGGAACCGAGGAAACAGCTGCAGACATTGGGGATTCAGGAAACAGTCGGGCTGGCTGTGCTGAGGAAAAGGAGCACAATAGCTGCGGAGGATGGGAGGGCGCCTCGCACTCAGAGCTCTGTCTTAGTCACCTGTGTGGTCTGGAGCAGGCTGTTTGCTTCAGGGTCTTCATCTTCAAAAAGAGAGTTGGACTACTTGGATTCTTCAGGTTACTTTCTAAGGTTCTGAAATCCGTGAATTTTGCTATGAAGTCTTTCTGCTTCTCCACTGGTATGTTTTAAAGTCCCTACTCCAGATTTTAATCTTGAACCTTACGGTGTTGCTTTAAGATGGTTGTTTGTTTTCCTTAATCATAGCCTTACATGGGCCAAGCAAAGTTTTAGGACGATGGGTAGGGATCCGGGAGTGTCTCCTGTCCCAGCTCCCCGTGAAGCTATGCGTCATCTTAAAGTTAAAAAGCTATGTTCCTTTCCTGATGCATAATTGAATGTAGAACTTATTCTTAGAGACTCACGAGTTTAACATTTCAGATTTAGCATCATAGTGACTTTTTCCTTGTTGGTACATCTTACTGAACATTGTAAATCTTTAACCTCTTCTTAAGAATCATTTGTCTTTGCACCAAATACACCTCCCCTGCCTCAGGTTACTAACAGCCTCTAGTCACATGTCTGGTCCACTGTCCTGCACGTTGGCCCCTCCCATGACCTTTTGCTCCCTCCTCCCTGGACCTTCCCTTGGCAATGTCTGGATTGACGCAGGACTCTCAGGGACATCTGGAGATCCTTGGCCTGGGGACAAACAGTGCCCAGGTTATTGAGCAAGTAAAACTGTGCTCTGAGGAATTTGTAAAGGTGTATGTGGTTTGAGATTGAAACAAGGTCATTTGTATATAACCTAAATAGTTTATTGATTGATTGTTTTCTATTGATTTAAAATAGATTACCTTTTTGTTTCATTTTGCATGTGGCAAGTGGTTGACAGCTCACCTTACTCAGATGTGATTTCTATGACAAGTAAAGAAAACGTTTGTTTAGAGGTAGAGAGGTAGGAGGGCTTAATGCCCTTATTAATTTCTGGTTTCTGTACTCTTTTTTTTTTTAATTTTCATTGATAAGCTGAAGGAATTAAAATTTAAATCTAAAGTGTAACATTACACTTAGGAAAACAGCATTCTTTCCCTTAAAATAATCTTGACAGAAATATTTTGTTGTCTGAATTAAACTGATAAGGAACTTTTTGCAATTTTAAACCCCTATTTTAAGTAAAATTTTGAATACATCTAAAAGTTTGGTATTTCAGATTGTCATCTTTTTTATAACATTGCTTTGTGATACCTACCCCATATATTTTGTGATTATTGTGTATATTCAGAGGTTTTTATATCAATTCACATACACTTTGGCCATAGGAACCCTCTGGAATTAACACACTTATAACTCTTCACCTTTTTGTGAAATGGTTGTAATATTGTTAGTTTGCATTATGTTATTACCACAGAGTCAATGATGAAGGGAAACGTAATCCTTAGTAACTAAGGAATGTTAAGCAACAAGAACCAAGAAGCTGGTTGTACCCAAACTCAGCCTTGTTGGAGAAATGTTGATAAGAGATAATTAATAGGAGATGAGTAATTCAAGGATGTTATTATTGTATATTCATACTTGGACTATAGAACTTAAGGTATATTACATTTTATTTATTTAAATGAGGACAATCACTTTGGAAAGCTCTTGGCAGAGTCTATGAAACCTGCAAATGTGCAGACCCTACAACCCAGCACTTCCTCATCTAGATCCCTACCCAGGGAACCATTTTCGAATATGTGCAAGAAGACGGAATAAGGAAGCCAATTGAACCATTCTAACAGCAAGAAATTAACAGTGACCTAAGGGCCATCAGGAATGGAATGGAATTATAATGCGGCAGAATGTAGTTCAGCAATTAAAAGGACTAACCGGATCTATGTTCATAAATGTGGACCAGGTGCGGTGGTTCATACCTGCAATCCTAGCACTCTGGGAGGCCGAGGCAGGAGGATCGCTTGATGTCAGGAATTCAAGACTAGCCTGAGCAAGAGCAAACCCTGTCTCTACTAAAAATAGAAAGAAATTAATTGGCCAACTAATATATATAGAAAAAATTAGCCAGTCATGATGCCACATGCCTGTAGTCCCAGCTACTAGGGAGGCTGAGGCAGAAGGATTGCTTAAGCCCAGAAGTTTGAGGTTGCTGTGAGCTAGGCTGATGTCACAGCACTCTATCCCGGGCAACAGTGAGACTCTGTCTCAAGAAAAAAAAATGTGGATAGATCTCAGAAATACAATGCCAAGTGTCAGAACAGTCCTTACAGTGTGATACAGTTTATACGAGGACATGAACACAAAAACTAGGGAACATATACATGTGTGCAAAGGTGTTTAAAATAAGATCTGCAAGGATATCCATGAAAGTCAGAGAGTAATCTCAAGGCATAAAGGAGAGCACCAGGATTAGAGGTGGCAGTCAGAGGGCACTTTGGCTTTACCGACAGTGGTCTTAACTTTTTAAAAGCAATGTTTCTGTGTATTATTCAATAATTAAAATAAATTTAACAAAAGATCTTTATGCTATATTGAATGATTAAATCACCACAAAAAATAGATTTGCGGCTTGTGTGGAGTTTTGTTGAAGATTTTGTTGTGGTCTAACTTCAGCTGCTGTGGAGTCCACCAACCCTACGCTGTGGCCCATCTTCTGCTTTTCCTGCAGTGGGTAATCAGAAAGTGCCTTAGAGGCTGAACCATACACAGTGGCTCATGCCTATGTAATCCTAGCACTGAGGGAGGTTGGGGCAGGAGGATCGCTTCAGTTCAGGAGTTTGAGACCAGCCTGAGCAAGAGCGAGACCCTGTCTCTACTAAAAATAGAAAAACTAGCCAGACATCATGGAGCTTGCCTGTAGTCCCAGCTACTCAGGAGGCTAAGGCAGGATTGCTTAAGCCCAGGAGTTGGAGGTTGCAGTGAACTATGATGACGCCACTGCACTCTATCCCGGGTGACAGAGCGATACTCTGTCTCAAAAGAAAAACAAGAAAGAAAGTGCCCTAGAGGTTGAAGCTAGGACTTCACTGGGGACGGTGCCTGGTGCACACAGGGTGGTGGAAGGGAAGGGTAGGCACTTCTGGCTTCATTTGAAGGTCGTGGAGTCACGTGGAAAAAGGCTTCATTTTTTTGTTCTGATTTTCTTGTTGTTTTTAAAATGAATAGTTTTGGGGGCCCGAATCATAACTCCAGATGCAAATATTGGACTGTGTAAAATTTGGTGCTTTTTAAGAGTTGAGTTTTGCTGTGGATCAGGTCAGCCATCATACTAAGAGTCATGATTCCACTTGCCATCAGATTTCCCATCTCCCTCCAAATGGGGGTAAAGCTGAGCTCACAAGGAAATTATTAACTGTCCTGCTGGTGCCCAGGTGTATGAGCAGCAGTCAGTGGTGACTTGCCTCTTCTGGAAGGTGGACTAGGTGAGTTTATATGCCTAGGTGAGCAAGAGTCAAAATAGCAAAACTTAGGGGAGCTTCCGAAGGAAGTAAGAAGAAAAGCTGTTTGCTAGCTTGTACGTCCAAAATGGTTCTAAATGGTGACCACTTTTTTGGAAGTTGTTGAATATTTGTGCAGATTTTTCATGCATGTTATGTAGTCCCCTTCACCCTGCTGCTGCTCCCTCTCCTGGAACACACTTCCAGCAGCTGATGTCTTCTGCAGGTGTCACACAGGTGTTACCATCCTTGGCTTGTCTGTCTCTGTGAGCTCCTCAAGCTTGAACCCTGGGTGTTTCCCCCCCTTCTCCCCAGCCCCTATGGGGACCCAACAAGAAGGTCACGATAGCTGACAGGTGTTGAGGGCTTATTACATGCCAGAGATGCTCCCAGTGTGCTGCCTGTGTCAGTTAATTTAATCTTCACAGCACCTGGGGGGGTAGGAAATATTGTTCTTCCCAATCTCAGATGCAAAACGAAGGCACAGAGAGCAATTATATTGGTCTTGCAGCCAACATATGGCAGAGCCAGTGTTGGAAGTCCGTTGCAGAATGCCCCCAGAGCCCCATGTGCTGTCCTGCTTTGGTGACCGTTGGCTGCCCAGCCTTGGGACAGGGGTGTCCTAAAGGTCAGTAAAGATCTCATTACCAAGAACTGTATGGCAATGTCTTTGAAAGCAAATGAAAATGAAATGCCTTTAAAGGAAGTACTTATCAACAT